GGGAACGTCACGCTTCCCATAGCAATAGCATCGAAACCCAACAAACCCAGGACACCCTTGAGGCGAGCAGGGAATTGCTTGCCATGGGCCCACACTGTAGCCCAGTTTCTTATCGCAATTGTTTCTTGGTAGCCGGCGCGAGTGCCCGTGATGCAGCTCGGCGCATGTTTGGCGGGCGGCGAACTGTCGCGCTCGGCGTGAAAGCCGTGACGCTTCGCTGATGATCCACGCCCATGGGGATGCGATGGTTGGACGGGTTGTGCCGCGGTCCTGGCGATTCGCCCTGCCAGGGTGCGGTGAGCCCAAGTGGATACTACGTGATGCGATGATACATGGGCCGCGGGCGCTAGGTTCTTTTTGAACATTTTCTTATTCCGCATTTCGACATTGGGCGGAAACAGGGGGGGGGGGGAGTGCTTGGCTCCAGACCTCTGCTTAATGCGACTGTTTTCGGGCGTAGCCCGAATTTGTTTCTCGCAAAGTAAACTCCGACTGACTGCCTAACTGACTGACTGACTGACCTTTGACTGATCGCACCCATTACGCGAAGGCTTGATTCTCGGCGGCCGAGGGCGCAACCTATGGCGCAACCAATAGAAGACCGCTTTTTTTTCTCGGCCGCCGAAGGCGCAAACTATGGCGCATCCAATACGAGACGGTGTTATTCTCGGGCGCCGAGGGCGCAACCTATGGCGCAACCGATAGGAGAGGGTGTTATTCTCGGCCGCCGAGGGCGCAACCTGTGGCGCAATCAATAGAAAACGGTTTGATTCCCGGCGGCCGAGAACGCACTTATGGCGCAATCGATAGGAGACGGTTTTATTCTCGGCCGCCGAGGGCGCAACCTATGGCGCAACCAATAAAAGACGACTTGATTTTCGGCCGCAGGGAGCGCAACCTATGGCGCAACCAATAGGAGACAGTTTTATTCTCGGCGGACGAGGGCGCAACCTATGACGCAACCGATAGGAGATGGTTTCATTCTCGGCCGCCGAGGGCGCAACCTATGGCGCATTCAACAGGAGACGGTATTCATTCTCGGCCGCCGAGGGCGCAACCTATGGGACAACCAATAGGAGAAGGCTTAATTCTCGGCCGCTGGGGGCGCAACCTATGTCGCAACCAATCGGCGGCCGAGGGCGCAACCTATCGCGCAACCGATAGGAGACGGTGTTATCCTCGGCTGCCGAGGGCGCAACCTATGGCGCAACTAATAGGAGACGGTTTGACGAGGAGAAACGATGACGAGGTCCTAGACGAGGACGACGACGAGGAATTGGAGCACGAGGAGGACGAGGAAGATGAGGAGGACGAGGAGGAGGACGACGACAATCTGGATGAAGAGGATGACGGGGAGGAAGACGAGTACTACGAGGACGAGGTGTGGGGGCCTCCTATGGGGGGAGACCCCACCTGCTGGAAACAGGCGTCAAAAACAGCCAAGCTCTACTCCAGGAGGGGGGGGGGGGGGCGAGGGCCCGCGCCGATCGGCAAAACGATGAATAAGAAAACGATCACCTTCGAGGCGTTGCCTGACTTTGCTCGCGCGGGTTGCCGCGGGCCCCAGGCGCCGTCGTCGCCTGCTGCTGGCGGAGCCTGGGCGCCGCCAGCGCCGCCCTCCTCTGCGTGGCAATAGGATCCCGACCACGAGAAACCTTCCACAAGAAACCCAACCCTGAGACCCCAGGACGTCCATCGATGTTTGGTGTGGGAACGTCACACTTTCCATCGCAAAACCATCAAAACCCAAGAAACCCAGGGCACCCTGGAGGCAAGAAGGGTGTTTCTTGTCTTGACATGGGCCCCCGCTGTACCATGTGGCTCCACCTGGCCCAATCGGGCCGCCATTGGTCCCCGCTTGCTCGGGCCTGCCTCCGCTGGCTGCGGTTTCAGCTTCGCCCTGGAAGCGAGGAGATGCAGCGGGAGCATCACGCCGCATCAGCATCGTCCACAACAGCGCCATGAATCGCGGAGCGGTTGGGGTCGCACTTCGATCGCTCCGCGGCGCTCTGGAGACTGGTTCTCAATACGTCGCGATAGTATATCGTGAGGGCGCCGTGCGTCTTTGTTACCTGCGCGCGAGCATTTGCAGTTCCGCCTGCGAGCAGGAAGAACAGCGGGGCCCCTCCCAGCGGCGCCGAGCTCATCCCAGGCAGCCCTTGTTTTCCGGATTGGAGCGGGTCCGGCTTGCCCGCGACGCTTCGTGAATGCAGGCTGCGTTGAGCGCGTGGCGGACGGAACAATCTAGGTGTCCCAAGCACTATGCTATATAGTTTTCCGCCCCCACCCGCGGGTCTGCTATACATCCCTGGGGCGTGGTTTTTGTATGCTCAAAATGCCCCTGGGCGGTGGAATCTGACTGGGGCGGGAAGGGTGTGGCACACAAACACGACATCTTGAGAAAAGGAGGAGGGAGGAAGAGGAGTTGCAGAATACGAGCACCTTGTCCTCGCCGCGCTCCTTAATCATGTAGTAACGGACCAGGTTGACGAAGCTCTGGTCGGAGATCCAGAACTTGCACTCGGCCGCGATCTCGGCCACCTGGCTGGTGAGACTCAGCATCGCCTCGGCCTTGCCGAGGATCAGGCCGCTGTTGGCGTAGATGCTGAAGGGCCTGCCGTTCACCTGCAGGGAACAATTCAAAAAACGGTGCTGCTACTCCTGGCCATCGCTCGGACGTCCATTCCCTGTGTTTTTTGTTCGGCTTCGTGAGTGGTCTTTTCGCCAAATGATCAAGGATGCTCCTCGATGTGCGGGCAATGTCTTTATCCACATCCAGTGCGTCTTGGAGTTTCGGACTCTCTTCCCACGAAACATGAGGCGCACTGGATGTGGATTATAATCTGCCTCCAAAAGGCTCAATTTCTATCCATATACAGTGCGACTCGGCCTTGCGGCGCCCCTTCCAAGAAAGTCCAGGACGCACTGGATATGGATATAAATATTGCCCGCACGATGGTCCTCGCCGAAAGAAAACTGCACACGCCCGAGCGACGCCAAGACTCCCCGGACCTCTCCTGTGGTGCGTTCCGGCCAAGATTCCGAGGCGGACCCGGCCGCGGCGACTGGGGCCCTCCCGGATGCCCGACAGGGCGAGCACCGGGAGAGAGCAGCGGTATCAGTATCGGTTCCTCCTCTGACGCCTCCTCCTCCTCCTCAAGCGTGGACACCAGTCTGAAAGTCCTGCAGGCTGGGGGCCGCCATTCAGGAGAGATCTCCAACGCTGAGGACGTGGGAGCTCGGCAGGCCAGATGGCGAGACGGCCAGGAGCACTCGCGCTCGAGCAAGGGAGCAAGGCTGGGATGTGTGATCGTCGCCCCTCGCCGCTGCTCCCCTCTCGCTCTCTCCTCCCCTCTCCTGCTCCTCTACTTCCCTTCCTCTCCCGTCACGTCCCCCCTTTCCCCTGCGCTTCCCCGCAGCTCTCCCGCAGACATCACACCGCTCCTGCACGAGTGCAATGTTTGTTTCGCCTCGCGCAGCATCAAGAGGACGTGGTGTGAGATCAGCGCCACAGACCGTGCTGGACCCCAACGCACGAGAGAAGACGAACGTCTACACATGTTTCCATCGAGTTGGCAAATTCCGCTCACACTCTACATTGCCGCCGCTTCCGCGAACCCGACAGCGTGGGCGCCTTTGCAGAGCGTTCCTTCGGCCTTCTGGGTAACCTGCACGTCCTTGCTGGGCCTGAAACTGGTCAGAAGGGCGTCCAGACGGCCCCGCGAGAGCCCCAAGTAGCACTGGAACCCCCCAAAAAACGCCCAATGAATACCCAAAGAGACCCCACATAAGTTTTGAAAGCGCAAGAAGCGCTGCTGTTTCCAGCAGCTTTTGCATGACTTCGGGATTCTCAGTTTGTCGGACGTCTGAGCGTCCGAGGCCGAAGAGACCCCGAAAGTGTATTCCAAAGCAGAGCCCAAAGACGGCCCCAAGAGAGCCCCGTGGGCGGAAGATGTCCCCAAGACGCCACCAAAAAGCGCTCAAGCACGAGTTGGTCGCTGGCGGAGACCGCGGTTGGCAGCGAAGTGGCCCCAGGAGGCCGACGGAGACCCCCGAAAGGCGCTCAGCGGGCCTCCATGGGCCCCTTCGAGGCCCCCGAAGGGGTGCGGGAGGCCCCCGGGACATCCTCAGGGGAGGAGCTTTCCACAGAAGCAGGAACTCCACGAGGGCTCCCACATCATGTTCCCAGAGAGCTTTCCGGAAACATGGTTGACGCCGCCAGTCCGACGAGGAGACCGAAGAGGAGGAGGAGGAGGAGGAGGAGGAGGAGGAAGAGGAGGAGAAGGAGGAGGAGGAAGAGGAGGAGGAGGGCCCGCGCCATCCCATTGGACATTCCAAGTCAGCGTAGCGTTGCTCGGGGACCCGTTCACAGCAGAACCGGGGTCGGGCCCACGGCGCCGCTCCGAGCGGACTCGGTGTCTAGGGTGCTGCTTGCAACTGCCGCTCTCCTCTGCGAGGCCCCCGGAGGTCCCCACACGTCACACGTAGAACGAGAGGAAGGAGGAGGAGGAGGAGGAGGCACGAAGACGAAGACGAGGAGGAGGAGGAGGAGGAGGGCCAAAACCGGGCCCAGACACCCTCCCGGATTTCTCCCCCTGTTGGCCCACGCCATGTTTGACCCTTTCCAGGGCCTCCCGGGCCTCACCCCGGCCGTGGCCAAAAAGCTACCAAGAATGGCCTGACAGGGCCGAAGACGCCCGAATAAGACGGCTCAACAGGCCCCGATGAATGACGCCCTAGGAAGGCGCCAAGATGCGCTCCGAGAAGGCACCACGAGGCCAAAATTGCTGTGTCCCACAAGCATGCAATTTATTTGGCGACGGACCTACACTTGTGTGCAGTCGCGTGTTGCGCACAGCGCGGGCTCTCTTCATACACTGCGCGCCGCGGGGCAATGCGGAAAGATGCTTTGTGGGGCACGATCCGCGTGAAGCGTGTGCCAATTGATTCAGATGCCCACGCGCGAACACGCCCACTGAGGCTGCAGGTGGACCTCGTCTGGGCACGACCCGTGCGAGGCATGTTCAGAAATGAGCTGGGGGACGCCATGCGAAGCTGCCCTTTGGTGCCATAGGTGGGGCTCCTTCTGGGGCATGATTCGCGTGACAGGTGTGCCGACATGGTCTGGGGGGCGTTGTCTGTACGAGCCTTGTCTCTGGGCGTTTAGGTGGTGCTCCTCGAAGGCACGATCCGCGTGGTGGGGTGTGCCGCTATGGCCACGGGGGGCGGCGCAGTGCGAGCCTTGCCTCTGGTGCCGTAGGTGGAGATCCCTATGTGCCACGATATGTCCGAGAGGTGTGCCAGAGTAGGCGGGGGGCGGGATGCGAACTTTGTCTCTGGGACAGTCCGTGGAACCTTTTGCGGGCCACGATCCGTGCGAGAGGCGTGCCGAAGTGAGCTGGGCGAGGCTGTGAAGTTCCCCTCTGATGCCACAAAGGCAACCACTTGCAAGACACGATCCGCCTGAGGGGCGTGCCATTCTGCGAGCCTTGTCTCCGGGGACGTAGGTGGATCTCCCTGTGGGGCGCGTTCCCTGTGAGGGGTGTGCCCACATGGGCGGGTGGACGCTAAGCCAAGCCTGTCTCTGGGGCCGCCGGTGAAGCTCTTTGAGGGGCACGATCCGTGGGACAACATATCTGTGTATGTATATAGATCCTCCGATGCCGAACAGTTTAGACTACAACTGGAGCATGCTAGGTAGAACCTGAGCGCGCGGTAAGCGCGCGTGGTTCTAGTGTGCACATCTTGCGAAGGTCTTACGGCCAGTGCCGCCGACCCTGACGGGGGACGACGACGACGACGACGACGACGACGACGACGACGACGACGACGACGACGACGACGACGACGACGACGACGACGAAGACGACGACGACGACGACGACGACGACGCTGACGTGGGTCAGAGTCCTCAGGGATTCTGTTTGGGGTCTCTTCGGAGCGCTCTCGCAGGCCTCTGTGGGGCAGTTTAGGGGGCCCCTTGGGAGCATCTTGGAGGCCTCTTGGGAGCCTCTTGAGAGCCTCGCGGGGCTTCCTGGGGACCTCTTGGGGGCATCTTGGAGGCTTTTGGAGGCCTCATGAGGGCCTCTTGGGGCATCCTGGGAGCCTCTCAGGTCCGAGGGCTCGAAATGTCCGTTTGGTTCCCCTGTCTGGGCACCCTCTTGGAGCCCTCTTGGTGGCCTCTTGGGCCGTCTTGCAGGCGTCTTTGGCCGTTTTCGGGCCCTCGTTGTCCCGTTTCGGGATCCTCTTGGAGGCCTCTCGGGGCGATCGTTGAAGTCTCTTGGGCCGTCTTGGAGCGTCGGGAAGCTGAAAAGGCGAGAACGCCCAAATCCTTGAAATTCAGGGGAATCAATGAAATTGCCTCTTGGGGCTCTCTAGGGACTTCGAGGCCTCTAGGGGCGTCTTCAGCCGTCTGGAGGCCGGAATGACGTCTTGGGCCGATCGTTCGTCGATTCGGGGTCCTCTTAAACCGCCTTGGGGGCCTCTTGGGGCTCTCTTGGCTCGTCTTGGGACTTTTTGGGGGCCCCGGGCCACCCCGGGGGGGGGGGGGCATTCTAACCCGGGACCCCCCCAGGACCCCCCCCCCTGGCGGATCAAAGGGAAGGGGCTTCCCTTCGACTCAATTACGACGTTGCTCAATTTCGTCTGGGCTGGCGCGGTTGAGGAGGGGGGCCCACGAAAAGGGGAGGGCGGCGACGGGCCCAGGGAAAGAGAGGGAGCGTCGACGGCGACGACGTCGACGTCGACGAAGACGAGTCAAACAGAACAGCTTCTTCCACACGCCGACAGGGTCGGCGGATACATGTATATGTACACATGTGTGTGTGTGCATCCTTCTCTCTCTCTCTCTCTCTCCCTCTCTCTCTGTACAATAGTTAAACAGGAAGTGGCTTGAACGTAGCTACAAGTTGCGAGGTGCGCTGCAATAAGCGGTTCTGAGTTTCACAATTTGTACACCCGGGCTTCGGTGAGGCACGACTTGCGTGAGAGCTGCGCCGAAATGCGCCGCTCTGGACTTCAAACTTGATTTACCCAGGCTTCTGGGAGGCACCGCGTGCGTGAGGCGTGCGCCGACATGGGTAATTCAGCGGGCGATTAGAACTGAGGTGGATCGTATTTTCAGCATCGCCTTCGTCCGCGCGATAGGAAGGAGGGCTGGAGCGGGTCGCAGATTCGACATCGTCTTCGTCCGCGCGGTAGGAAGGAGGCCGAGTTCACGCTTGATGGTAGTTTAGCGAGCGGTCCCAACAGAGGTGGGTCGTAAACTCGACCTCTTTTCGCTCGGGTCTGTTGGGGGCTTCTCGGGGGGCTCATAAGAGCGTTTGGGTGGCCTTTGGCAGCCTATTGGGGGCTTCCCGGAGGCCTCCAGGGAACCTTGAGAGCCTTGAGGGGCGCCTGTGGGGCCTCGGGGCATTGGGGTCTTGGAGGCAAGATTGGAGGGAAAGGCTCTCGAGGCCAGCTCGGTTTCCTTTTCTTGGGGCCTTCTTGGGCCTCTTGGGCCATCTTGGGGGCCTCTTGAGCCGTCTTGGGGCCCTCTTGGGCCGTCTAAGGACCCTCCCAGGCAGTCTTAGAACCCTCCCGGAGTGTCTTGGAGCCCTCTCGGGGCTATCGCGGGCTGTCTTGGAGTACTCTCGGGAACTTGTGGAGGCCTCCTTGGGTTTTCGGAAGCCCGAAAGGGCCAGCATGTTAGAACCATTGGAACACGCATGGGAAATCAATGTGTTTTGTCTTTCGAGGGCATCTTGGGCGACCTCTTGGAGCCCTCTTGGCTCTTGGGACGTCTTGGAGCCCTCTTGCACCGTCCCGAGGCCTTCGTGGGCACTCTTGGGACTGTCTTGGGGGCCTTTTGGGCTGTCTTGGGGCCACCTTGGCTGTCCTGCGGCGGTTTGTGGCTGTCTCGGGGTGGTGTGTGGCTGTCGTCGAGCCGTGTCAGGACGCAGGTGGGGGGGTGGGTTCGGAGGACTGTCGCTGGAAGGGGTGGGAGTCGGCTCTTGAAAAGATTGGAGAACCCCGCCGGACAACAGAGAAGCATTCAAGCACGCCCATTGCGTGCAGGCACGGTGGCGGGTATTATCCGACGGGGAGGGCGCTCACGATGCTGCATGGATGGTTCCCCGTTAGCCAGGACGGCTCGGAGAGACGAAGAGAGCTGAAGCCGGAGGAGGAGCAGGACGCCCTTGAGGAGGGGAGCAGGGCGCTGCACG